TTGCTGACTGTTCTTCCATCCTGCCTCCCTTCCCCGCTCTGCAGCCAGGATCCCTCAGACGCTGGAAATTGTCAAACATGCCGTAGATATTGAAGAAAAGGGGGTGAAAGTGAAATTGACAGTGATCGACACTCCGGGACTTGGAGATGCAGTGAACAATGAGGAATGGTAAGAGGTCATATTGTATGAGTACGTGCCTCAGTCATCCTAATGGTAACAAAGATGACCCCAAAAAGGCCACCATCAGGGAGACAACATGCTGGGAATTAAGATTCTTGGATCCTCTGAAGGGACTGTGGAATTGGGCAATTAGAACTTTGGAACTGAGTTTTGAAATTATTTCTAGCAACAGTCCCCCCCCCCCCCCCCCCCCCGTTCCAAACGTAAATTGTTGGGATTTTAAGGTTAAGATCCAGTTTTGAGGACCGCTTCCAAAATATCAATCAGCGTAGATGATAAAGTTTATATTCTTAAGGATTACCTTCCCACATGCAATATTTGAAACCTATTCTTCTCAGACTTTTAGCTCAACGGGCTCTAATAATTGCATATATGGTGTTAAAAAAACCCTTCGATGATTCAAATTAGGAGAATAAAAATTCAAAATGTTTTGTGGCTGAATTTAGCTGGGAGGGTTCTTTCTCGTGACCTCTGGTTTTCCTTCCTTGTGCTACATACAGCTGGAAGCCAATTGCCCAGTACATCGATTGCCAGTTCGAGCAGTACTTCCGGGACGAGAGCGGCCTCGACCGCAAGAATATTCAAGATGGCCGCGTTCACTGCTGCCTCTACGTCCTCTCACCTTTTGGACACGGGTACAATATGTGGAACTTTACAGTTTGACATACAAATTAATACAAATAGTTACAAAATGGCTTATATCAAGTAAGAGAATCAACAATGTATTGCATTAACGAAGCTGCCGACTTCTCTCTTCGTTTCGTTTCCAGGCTTCCTCAGAAGTAGATTCTCCCGTTCAACAATTGACATTCACTGTGTGTCGTTTCCTTTATTCTCCATACATTCTTTATACTTGTCAAAGTTTAGTGTCCAACTAGGTAACAATAACCCTCATATCCAATTAGTTTACGCTATGCAATGTTAGAGTGCACAGTGAATGTCAATTGTTGAACGGGAGACTCTACTTCTGAGGAAGCCTGGAAACGAAACGAAAAGCCGGCAGATTCGTTAATGCAATACATTGTTGATTCTCTTATTTGATATAAGCCATTTTGTAACTATTTGTATTAACTTGTACGTAGTACAGTAATAATTATTCACTTGATAAAACCATATTTTGCATATGACGGTTCCCCGGTTGATTCTGTAATTTTGAAGTTTACAGTTTGTCAGCAGTGGCACAGAAGAGGGGGTTAGAACTATAATCCTAGACTCTGGAGGGACAGATGCTCCCCAGATGTGGGACAATTAAAACTTAGCTTGTGCCACGCCCAGTTCCCAAACTTATCCCCAGCATCTTATTCACTGCTGCAACAAGTGAAATAATAATAAAGAATGTCACCGAGCATGTGCAGAGTGCTTTTATCACTGATGCCACATGGCTAGCCTGCACACTTCTGGATAAAGGAAAGGGTTTCTAGACAGGCAGGATTGAATCCTGACAGGTTTGGTGTTTCTTAAAGCAAACCAGCGGAGACACCTTGGGAACACTCCACCACAGAGTGGGGTCTATAAGCCCCAAGTCAGAGCAGAAGCGGCCTGTTAAGAGCCAGGACTCCCTCCCAAGCGCTCCAATAGGAAATGCCAAGTCTCTGACTCTTCCTCCTGTGGCACAGGCTCCGTCCCCTGGATGTAGCATTTCTGCGTGCCATCCATGACAAGGTCAACATCGTGCCTGTAATTGGAAAGGCCGATTGCTTGACTCTCACAGAGGTACAGCAGAAGAAAAAGAAGGTGAGGCGCCTGAAGGGTATAGTGGGAGGGAACCGCAATCTCAGGGTCCTGGCACTGAAGCCTCCAGCAGAGGAATCCTCCATCCAGAAGTAGATAACCTACTTGAAGTATCATGCCAGGAGAGAACTGCTGGGACTCTTGTATCTCAGGCTTACCCCCATGGCTGCCTTTTGTGGGTATTTAACTGCTCGTTTCAATTCCTTTGAACCCGCAGATCCGGCAAGAGTTAGAAGAAAACGGGATCACCATTTATGAGTTTCCTGAGTGTGACTCAGATGAAGATGAAGAATTCAAAGCTCAAGATGCTGAGATGAAGGTAAGAATCGGATGGGAGGCAGCTGAGCTCCTGTGTGTGTTTCGGGGTTTCTTTGGTGGGAGATAGAGCACTAAAACTTGAATACACAATTTGTGTTCTCCCTGTAGTGTAGCATCCCCTTTGCGGTCATTGGATCCAGCCAGGTGGTTAGAGAGCTGAAGGATAAAGTGTTCCGAGGAAGGCAATATCCCTGGGGGACAGTGGAAGGTAAGTTGTGTTCCAGGGGAAGGACCAGCAGAGGGCGCTGTGCCACAGGAAGCTGCTGACGCTACTTCCCATTTTGTCACCCCCCCAGTGGAGAATTCTGCTCACTGCGACTTTCTCAAACTTCGGAACATGCTGATTCAAACCCATATGCAGGACTTAAAGGACGTAACCCATGAAGTCCATTACGAAAACTACCGTGCACAGTGCATCCAAAGCCTGACCAGACCTGGGGCTCGGGATCGCAGCAGCCGCGCGTAAGAAAGTTCTGGGGGTCTCCAAATTTTCTTTGTGGGAGGGCACTTGTCCAAGAGGATAAGGATTGAATTACAGAATCAATAAAAGGGACTGAAGGCAGCCTGTTTTACAATTAAAAATGAGAAAATGACCTTAGAGCGTCATTGGGCCTACTTCACACCAGTGTTCCCTCTAAGCTGAGTTAGTGTGAGCTAGCTCACAGTTTTTTAGCCTCCGGCTCACACATTTTTGTCTTAGCTCAGGAAGGAGGGCTCCAGAGCAAACTAATTTATGGAGTATCCAAATCACTCGCTCACATCTTTAATGCCAGTAGCTCACCAAGTAGAATTCTTGCTCACAAGACTCCACAGCTTAGAGAGAACATTGCTTCACACGATCTTAAATACAGTCGATGATTCCCTGGAAAATGGCTAACAACTGCAAGTGTCTTTAGGTAGATCCCCAGATGGTCTATGATCAGAATGCTGGTCAAAGTGGCTGACCGCAAAGCTGGTGACTGAAAGGGCGACCTTTACGAGGAGGAGGCAGGACTCCTGGTTCTAAGCTCTCCGTTGCCTTTCTAGGAAGCTGTCTCGTCAAAGTGCTACTGAGCTGCCGCTTCTGCCTCTGACGGCTGAGACAGAGAAATTGATCCGTGAGAAAGATGAGGAGGTGAGTCTCTGGGAAACGGCCTTCCCACCTGAAGTGTGCCTGTGCTTTTTAAAGCCCTCTGTTTTCTGAGGGAGTCAGTGATCATACATCAAACTGCCCCCTCCCCCCCGCCACTGCATCTCAGCAGCAGGCAAAGAGTCAACAGCTCAGCGGGCGAGGCAATCTCAGTCTCTCTTTATCTCTTTGCCCAGCTCCGCCGAATGCAGGAAATGTTACAGAGGATGAAGGAACAGATGCTGCAGAGTCAACTGGAGCAATCAGACAGTCTCTGAATGGTACCAGAGATACTTCCCGCCTTTCCCCTTTGCATCCTGGAAGAGAGAGAGAGTCCAGCCTCCTCCTACAATGGCAAGTGGCTGAAGAAGCCCTTCAGCTCCGGAGACTGCAGTGTCACGGTTGATGGTTTTTGGGGGGGGAATAGGGGACTCCTTAGGCCAGTGATGGCGAACCTTTTAGAGACCGAGTGCCCAAACTGCGACCCGAAACCCACTTATTTATCGCAAAGTGCCAACACGGCAATTTAACCAGAATACTGAGATTTTACTTTAGAAAAAACAAAACGTTAACTTAAGATGACCCAAACATAGTAAGGAAAGCAATCCCAAATGCTTTCGTTTACTTAAAATTATTTGGCAGAGAATTCGACACTTGAATGATGGTCTGGGCCTGGCTGGGGCGATGGCATGCGTGCCCACAGAGAGGGCTCTGAGTGCCACCCTCTGGCACCCGTGCCATAGGTTCGCCACCATTGCCTTAGACAATCCAGTTGGAGAATTTCCTCTCCCTCTTTCTCACGTATGTATCCTTTCTTCTCAGCACAATCAAAGATGTGATGATAGCTCACTGGCATGCAGTTGCTTCAATAAACTGTGAGAGCATTCAAATAAAACAAAATATATTTTTGCACAATGTACAGTTTGTGGAGAGAATCTAACATAGTTTCTATCCCTTTAGCTTCCCACAACTGACTGATCCACCTTACACACAAGAATCTGTTTCTCACCAAATACTTGTCCCCAAAGGTATCTGTCTGTCAGCGTTGCTGCCGCCCTGTCCATCTGCAAACAGAGGCTCCTCTACAAATCCCATTTCCTCAGCCCCACCACACCTGCAAGAGTGATCAGTTTATCTAGGAATACACGCCGTGCTGCCTGCAGAACCTCTACGAACCAAGAGGCTGCAGTATTATGGCAGACAATTCTCTGAGGCCACATGGGTAATTTTAAGAACTGGGTGGTAACTCGGCAAGGCAATCTTCCAGGCGGGGCACAGTCCTCGAGCAAAGAAAACGTCATGTTCAAGACATGGTGGACAGTGAGCATGCCATCTGATGCTGCACCCCCAAAAAAACAATATGATGGTTGGGGGGGGGGGCTAACCAAGGACACAGCGGAGACCACCAACCTGAGCAGAGGAACGGCTTGGGGGGGGGGAGCAAGATGGGCTGCTTAACCCCTTCCCTTCCTGCTTTTTGTCACTCAAAATCAGCCACGGCTCAGCTGCTTTTCCACACATGGACAGAAAGGACGCATCCTGCTCCGTGGCTGGAACCAAAAGGGCTACGCAGCCTTCTACCCCTGCCCAAAGGGGCCGCTCTCCCCAGGAATAGACAAACAGTGAGGCTGCCGCACGCAGTCTGCTCTGTAACATCCAGCTTCCCCCTGACATTTGAGCAGCCCCGCGCCACAGTGTCCAGAAGTTCAGCTGCCTTTTCAAGGCAATGTCTGAAAGGGCAAGACGGGCACAAGGGCCTGCACCGCCCTTTTGCCCGTTCGGTTAGTTTGTTCCTGGAGGCAACTGGAGCAGACAACAATCTGTTTTGTTAAGGAGGGGCAAGGAAGGAACAGCAGCACAGCTTACGCTTCCCCTCCCAATCCATTACACACTAACCGGATAGCAGGACTTATCCTGCAATGGCTAAAAGGAGGCAGGGGCACCCTTGGAACCGAAAACCTGGACGAGGCCTAAAATCACAACAACATCCTCTGTCCCTCCTGACTTGCAACTAGAGCCAAGGAACCTTTCAAGGCCACAGGGACGTTTCTGTCCTCCTGCTCCGGAACAGGCAGTGGCAAGTCCTACTTCTGATACTCCGTGTACTTCTTGGACGAGCCGTAGACTTTCTCAGCCGGGTATTTGAGGTGGTTCTTCTCTATTTTACGGAGGGCGGCAGAAGGAAGGTCCACGCGGCACTTGTCTGCCAGGGCCACCAGGTAAATGAGGACGTCGCTGAGTTCATCAGAGAGGGCCTCACGCTCCGATTCTGTCCAATCTGGTAGGCCTTCAGGGGCCTCGGCCCGCCACTGGCTGAGAACACACAAACAAAGCGGGGTGAAGCCTCGGCTGGACCCAGGTTATGAAAAGTCCGAAAGGCAGCATGTAATATTTAAAATCAAGAGGTATCGGGGCCTGACCCTACTTTGAAGTGTCATCTTCTGCCCCACACACCATTCTTTGTCGTAGCTCAAGTCCTCCCATACAAAGCATTTTATACGGAACTGCCATGTGTTTGTTACGTACAGTCCATCTATCTCCTCAAGGCTTTACCCCAAGAGCACCAGACTACGTGTCATTTTCTCATTAATGTGTCATTTTCAAACCTGTGGAATGTTATGACTATGGTTTCTCATGCGGGCAGAGGAGTTCAGGTGGGAAGATTTCCTCACAATAAACACAGGAACAGTGTTTAGGAGAAGATCAGTGTCCTGTATCTCTGCTTATGGCAACAAAACCCAGCCATGTAAATGCAAGCAAACAATTTGCAGTTGGCGGGACCAGGCATTTAAGCTCAGGTAAATGCTTATCAACGTTCTAGAGGCAAGGCTGTGGCTCAACAGGAGGACATCTGCTTTGCATGCAGAAGGTCCCAGGTTCAATCCCTGCCATCTCCAGTTAAAAGGGACACGTAGCGAGTGATGTGAAGGACTTCTGACCTAGGCACTGGAGAGATGCTCCCAATCTGAATCGACAAAACTGACCTTGATGGACCAATGGACTGATTTTGGCAAAGCGATCCCTACCCATCCATCTATATCACTGCCACAGGAAGTGGTGGTGGCTACAAGCATGGACGGCTTCAAAAGGGAATTAGATAAGCCTATGGAGCAGAGATCCATCAGTGGCTATTGGTCACAAGGTATAGATAGGGGCTCTGGGGCAAGTGATGCTCTGTCTTCTTGGTGCTTGGGGGGGAGTCAACAGTGGGAGGGCTTCTAATGTCCTGGCCCCACTGGTGGACCTCCTGATGGCACTGGTATTTCTGGCCACTGTGTGACACAGAGTGTTGGACTGGATGGGCCTTTGGCCTGATCCAACATTGGCGTCTCTTATGTTCTTATTTAATTAAAATCAGCCTAAGCAGGGGCATCCCTCAGCACCCAACCTCCCGCCTCCAGCTAGGGTTGTGACTTCTTCCCAATTAAAACGTAATGGGAGCATGGACACGCGAAACACGGCAAAGGACACACCCACAGGCCTCCCCCTTCTTCCACCCCCCTGCCCCTTCCCAAGTACTGCCTTTTGGCAGGCCGAGCGGCAGTTCCCTCCCGGGTACTCACAAGAGCTCGGCCACTTCCCCCACCTCCCCGACGAGGGCAAGAAGCAGGTTCCGAGGCTGGTGGTACTTTCCCCAGCCCCTCTCGGCAGCAAACGCAGTCTGGAGGCTTCGGCTGTGGGAGGGAAAGGAACAGAGGGATGAGGCCAAGAATGGAGGTTGTAGGCAATGCTCCCTCTAAGCTGTGGAGTCTCGTGAGCAAAACTTCTACTTTGTGAGCTATTGGCATTAAAGTTGTGAGCAAGCAATGTGGCTACTGCATAAACTAGTTTGCTCTGGAGACATCGTTCCTGAGCTAAGATTAAAATGTGTGAGCTGGAGGTTAAAAAGCTGTGAGCTAGCTCACGCTAACTCAGCTTAGAGGGAACACTGGTTGTAGGTGCGGACATGTGCATGCAGGGGTGCTCGGGGGGGAGTGAAACAGCTGGCACAACTGAAGGTGAACAAGGTTATGGAGATGGTCACTCTCTCCTTAACCACATTCTGGGGAGACGCGATACCTAACGGACAGTCCATAAACAAAAGTCATGCAGTACTGGGTCACGTTACCTTGTATTGAGGCCAACCGAATTATCATGTGACTTTTTAGATTTTGCTATGGGACAGCACAGTGACCTACGTCTTTTGTGCAGGGGAGGAAGCCACATGACAGCAAAATCCAACTCCTTTCCCAGGGTTTCTAATTTGAGCCAGAGCTCTAAGACGAGCTTTACACGTCAGCAATATGTGCAAGTCAAGGGCTGGGAATTGCCCCTGTGACAGAGCTGCTTCCCTCCCTTCGATGGCCCCTCAAACGACCCAGAATGGTTAGTGGGATGGGGGGACTTATCAACTGTGACTGAGCCCTGGGTTGGGGTTGGGTGGAGGAGGGGCAAGGACTCTCTTACATGTCTTCCAAGGTGGGCTCACGACTGAACCGAAATGTCTCTGCCGAGTTTCCAGGCCCATCTTCCGCAGCGGCTATGGGGGGGGGGGAGCCACAGCCCACCAGCTTCTGGGAATCAGGTGACAGGAGGCAGCCAATCCCACATCACTGCTTGCTTTAAAGATCTGCCGTTCTGCTCAAGGAGACCACCAAGCTCTGAAGTGCCCATCCACCTGAGCCAGATAACCCCCCCTGCCTTTGGAACACACACACACACAGCAGAACCCATCTCTCTCTTTCACAGAGTCACAATTTTCACAGAGTCACAATTTACTCACAGGATACACAGCTTCTTGGAATCAGGTGACAGTAGGCAGCCAATCCCACATCACTGCCCGCTTTAAAGATCTGCCGTTCCGCTCTTTTGTTAGAGCAACCTGGTGCTCAAGGAGACCGCCAAGCTCTGAACTGCCCATCCACCTGAACCAGATAACCCCCCTGCCTTTGGAACACACACACACACACAGCAGAACCCATCTCTCTCTTCCACAGAGTCGCCATTTACTCACAGGATACACCCCCATCTGTTAGTTACATCTTCCCTCATGTGGTGATCAGCGTCCCAGAAGAAAACCCTGTCTTCGTGAGGGCCACAGAAGAACCTGAGGACACAGGCTTTTTTACCCTCCTTGGGGGCCATGTGGTGTCCAAGGCCAAAGCAGAAGGCACGGGGCTCACATACGCAAAACCGGTCTTGATTTTTACTCTCCCTAGTACAAGCCAAAGGCAGCCCTTCAAATCCCTCCTAATTTTAGCAGAACTTTTTCCTACATTGGACTTCCTTTGATAGTAGTATGTTTGACTAAGCCTATCAAGGTAGTCTTGTCAGATCTTGGCAGCTAAGCAGGGTTGGCCCTGGCTACCAGTGTTCGGTTGGGAGACCACCAAGAAAATACAGGGTCATGATGCCGAGGCGGGCAATGGCCAACCACCTCTTGCCTTGGAAACCCTGTGGGGTTGCCATAAGTTGGCTGCAACTTGACAGCACTTTCCTCCACCCCCACCAGAGGGGCTAGAGAAGAGGAGGAGGAGGAGACTGGATTTATATGCCCGCCCTTCGCTTGGGAGCCTCAGAGCGGCTTATAAACTCCTTTCCCTTCCCCTCCCCACAACAGACACCCTGTGGGATAGGTGGGACTGAGAGAGCTCTTTGGAGGACTGCTCTTCCAAGAACAGCTCTGACAGAACTATGGCTTGCCCAAGGTCATCCAGCAGCTGCAAGTGGAGGAGTGGGGAATCAAACCCGGTTCTCCCAGATTAGAGTCACGCACACTTAACCACTACACCAAGCCTGTCTACACCAGAAGGGCTAGAGAAGAGGAGGCGGAGGAGACTGGATTTATATGCCCGCCCTTCGCTTGGGAGCCTCAGAGCGGCTTATAAACTCCTTTCCCTTCCCCTCCCCACAACAGACACCCTGTGAGGACTGAGAGAGCTCTTTCAAGGACTGCTCTTGAGAGAACAGCTCTGACAGAACTATGGCTTGCCCAAGGTCATCCAGCAGCTGCAAGTGGCGGAGTGGGGAATCCGGTTCTCCCAGATTAGAGTCGTGCATACTTAACCACCACACCAAGCCTGTCTGATGAAGGACTTGCCACCTGGAAAGGATATAACTTCAGCTGGGCCTCTGGGCTCTCCCACACAAGACAGAGGATCCTGTGCAGAAGCAGCCTCCTCTAGGTGGGAAAAGGCTTGAACTTCGCACATCGTTTCTCACGTATTATGAATATGTATATGCCCATTTTGCCACATGTGCCCTCAGCGAGCCCCTGCTGCCAACTTTGTCCCACTGTGTGTAAACTGGGAGGTGTATACATCACATGCGACAGATGAGAGACAAGGTTTGCAGTCACTTTTGCAAAAAAAAGAGTCTGGGCCAGACGTTTACCTAACATAAAGCACCTGCAGTGCTTTGCCACTCATCCGTGCACAACCCCAAAGCTGGAGGCAGCCCATTCCATTCATTTCAAGCTTCCGAGGGCTTCGCAGCTATCTATTCTGCTTCCTCTCCTCTTGGCCAAGCCTCCCTCACAGGGTCGCCGTGCAGATAAAGTAAGGGAAGGAAGAACCACGTGCACCACCCTGAGCATCCTGGGAGAATGAACTGGGTAAAAACACGATAGAAAGATAGAGCAGACACAGGATGACCCACGCGGAGAGGTAAGAGAGAAAGATACTCCACCTTATCTGCTTCTGGCGAGCCATCAGTTTTTAGAAACTCGGCTCGCTTTTGGTTCTGCATTCGAATGCTGCGAATGTGCCCTCCTCCCGCCGCGTGCTGCTTCACATCGCACACCCCACCGTGAGAAACGGAGAAGTCCCTGTTGCAAGCGCTGCAGCGCGCCTTCAGAGCGTTATCCTGCACTTTGTGTAGCCAAGAGAACTCCTTCTCCCACTCTGCGCGGTATTTCTGCATCCGCCTGCCTTTCTTGGCTGGAGACTGAGCGGGCGAAGATGCCATGGCACTCGGCAGCCCGGAGCCGTGCAGAAGCTGGGCACAGAAGCCCGGTCTCAGCCAATCAGCAGCGGGTATGGAACTGGATTCTGATTGGATAGCAGCAGCATGGCAGTGAGAGGGGAGAAAAAAATCTGTGGCCCAATCAAAGTTGGGAAGCCTTAAGGCGAGAGGCGACTATGTACCCAATCGCTGAAAAACAAGGAAGGCGGGAGGAGCAGGTTGTAGGCCTTAACTCGGAGACAGGCACAGAGGGCGTCCAATCAGAAGCCGTCTTTAGCAAATGCAATTTTTTTAAAAAAGGCAGGGAGAAAGACTCACAAAGTTAAGCTTTTTTAAACTTGAAAGGTCAGCTTTGATTCCAGAAAAGCAAACAATCAGTTTATTTATAAAGTGGGCAAAAGTGTTCCGAACTTACATTTCCCACCAATGGCAGCCCGACTCTGGGACGCACAGACCCAATAGGAATGCAGGATTCCGGGTTCCCTTCTGCAATTGGCATTGACACTTGAAACACACACACAGCAGCCAATGGAGAAGGGGGGCGGTATTTACTCGGGAGAGGCTGCCGCTTGCTAGGGAGCCACGCGGTGGAGTTGGAAGTGCGGGAGGTCGCGTTTGTTGCGCAGAGTCCAATCAAGTTACCGAAATGTCTTCCACGCTGTGTGGGTTTTATGTTTTGCGCTATTGCCAATTTCTTTTTTCCGCCATGCAGGGAATATGGAAAATAAACATTGTTTTCAAACTTCACGTAGTGTAGAACTACATTCTTTTATTTAATTAATTTATTTCTTACTTCCATTTCTATTCCGCCCTCCCTGCGTGCGGGCTCAAGGCGGGTTACAAAGTCACATAAAAATCCTGACTAACGTAACAGTAAACAGAAGTTTAACAATACAACTAATATTAAAATCAACTGTGCAGCAAACCAGAGCGAGTTTGCCTTGATAATAGAGCTCGGATGGAAAAGCTTCAGAGTCGCGCCCAAGTGAGCGGGAATGCATTAAGCAAGGAGAAACGCTGACGTCCCGAAAAGGAGGCAACTTGCCGGGGAAGCAGGATGTCTACTGAAAAGCCCTGGCTTCCCTCCCAATAATTGTAATGGAGGATCTTGCCGTTAAGGATGCAAATGGCCAGATTTTTTTTAATGGACAAAAGTACTCTGATTTTTTTTGGCAGCGCTGATTTTTAATTAGCGACTTAATCAGTGCTGTTTTCCCCTTTACAGCCAAAGGGATTTTTCGTATAATTTCTTTTTTATATTTCATGTGATATTGTAATTATGCAATTACAGTAATTTGAAAAATGAACAGTCTGCCTACAGAGAGAGAGAGACCAGTAGTTAAGGTACTTTCCAATGGTTATTGCTTTGCCTTTTAATGTTTTAAGCAGAAAACTGCTTTGGTCTTCAGGCTTGCCAGATCTGGTCAGATCCTGGAAGCTAAGCAAGGTGGTCCCTGGCTAGTATTTGGATGGGGGACCGCCAAGGAAGTCCAGGGTGGCGAAGCAGAGGCAGGCAGTGGCCAACCACCTCTGAACATCTCTTGCCTTGAAAATGCTATGGGGTTGCCATGAGTCAGCTGTGGCCTGACAGCACTCTCCTACAACCACCAAACTGCTTTGATAGTCAGAAGCAGGGCTATTTTTGGGCATGAATGCACAGGAACGGAGTTCCGGCTGGCTCCCAAGTTGGCCACGCCCAGGAGGAACTCATTAGCATAATAGGCCACACCCAACAGCAGAATCTCATTAGGATTGGCTACATTAGGGTTGTGTGGCCTAACATGCAAAGGAGTTCCTGCTACAAAAAAAGCCCTGGTTTGACAACAAACAAGGTAAACAGAATAACAAGCAAAAGGTGGGTGTGGCTGGATGAGCACACTTCTGGTAACGGGTGTGGCCTCATATGCTAATGACCTGTGCTGTCAGGGGTGTGGCCTAATAAGAACACGTTTCTGCTGTTGGGTGTGGCCAGTTATGCTAATGAGTTCCTGCTGGGCTTTTTCTACAAAAAAAGCCCTGGTCAGAAGGTATATAAAATACATTCACTTTGGCCCCGGTCACACGGGCCGGATATCGCGGGGGGAGGCGTGGCTGTTTGCCCCGGAGCGAACTACCGCGCAGCAGCCGGATCAAACGTCCCGCCCGACATCCCGCTGACATTCCGTGGTTGGGGGGAATTGCCAATCATACCTCACTCCTGCGGCACGGCAAAGAAGCGGCACCGCGGGGGTTGTGTTGGTTTTTTTAACCCAAGTGTTCGCATGCGCCATTGGGTGCTTGTGCGCACCTGTGGAGACTTGACAAAAACTTTTCGCGATGGGACATGGGCGGGTGCCGGATGCCACGAGCTAACACCAGAAACGTGATCTGACGCCCGCCCTTTTTACAGCGTATCTTCGTAGTGAATCCTCGGGTGAGCCACGGGAGCTCTACGCTTCCCAGATGTGGTGGTGAGATCACGCCCGGAAAATCCACCTATCTTCCGTCTCTAGTGTACCTAATGCTCCGTGTGACCGAGGCCATAGTTTACTGTGCTGCCGAGTAACTAGGGTTGCTTTCTTTTCCTGTTGGCTCTGGTCCCAGGCCTAACACCAACCTGACATGTGTCAATTTAGCAAATAAATATGAGGGAGATGGCGTCTGCTTAATTTTTGTGTGCCAAGTGGCTGTTCAAAGCACAGCAGCAGGGCCAGTCAGAACACTGGCAACCTTACAGGGTTACAGTGTATGGTCCATTCACGTGACGGTTAGACATGTGTCCTCCTTCCCAAAGGGGACTATCAGCCGCACAAAACAGCCATGCATAGGCCAGAAAGCTCTCCTCTTCCTTCTCTCACTTCTGTTCCTGCTCTGATGCTGACTTAGTTTCAACACCTTGCCCAGGGGTCATTTAGTAGAAAAAGAGCTAGGGGAACTCATTAGCATAACTCATTAGCATATGCCACACCCCCTGACATCAGGGGCCCAGCGGTGGACCGGCAAGGCCAGCGGGAGTGCGAGGAAGCCCCGCCAAGGCCCTCCCTGGCCCCAGGCAGGCAGGGGTGGGGAGAGGCGGGGAGGAAGCAACTTACCCTCCCTCTTCTCCTGCCTCCTCCTGGCTGAATGAGGGCTGGAAGTGGGGTGGCTGGAAGCAGGGGGCGGGGCTTCGTCATGTGCCCCGCCCCCCTGCACCTCACCCGGGGGAACGTTCCTCCCCGAAATGACCTCTGACCTTGCCAAAGAGATTGGGAATATGACCCCAGACCTAGATTTAGGGCACTGCACTCTACTAGAGGAACTTTTAATGCACAGATGGGAATTTAACAGAATAATCATAGAACAATTACTGAGGGAAACCGAGGTTCCAGCACTGGTGGTTCCACATGGTACGCTTGCAGCTAGAGCTGGCAATAGCCCTGGTGAAAAATGTCCCCTTAATAGAAACTTAATTGGGTTTTAGGTAAAGGTTTCCCTTGCTTGAAAGCCAGTCGAGTCCGGCTCTAGGGTTGCGGTGCTCATCTCCGTTCCAAGCCGAAGAGCCAGCGCTGTCAGAAGACTTCTCTGTGGTCATGTGGCCGGCATGACTAGACGCCGAGGTGCACGGAACACGTGTTACCTTCCCACCGAAGGGGTACCTATTTATCTCCTTGCAATTTCTTGCTTTCGAACTGCTAGGTTGGCAGGAGCCGGGACCAAAGACGGGAGCTCACTCCGTCACGTGGCACTTGGGTCTCGAACTGCTGAACTACCGACCTTCTGGTCTGCAGTTTAGCGTCTTAATCACTTGAGCCACTGCAGCCCAAAAATTGGGTTTTACTTGCCCATTACTTCCCTCCATGCCATGAAAAGGTTCAGCTGCCCGTTGTCACATATTAAGGCGCCTTCTAGAGAGCACTGCTGCTGCTCTGTGTTTTTCTCGCCACCAGAGGGGCTCCCAACACTGCACACATTGTGAAAGGTCAATCCACATGGTAGGTTTTTATCCGGGCTTTCCTTTTGTATGTTTCCTACTTTCCTGTACATGCTTTTCAGTTCTTGGGACTTTTTTGGTGAGCATGTATTGCTTGTATTGTTTTGAAAGCCCACCCCCCCGTGCCCCCCGATCTTGGTTTATGAGCTCAGGGCCTATAATGATTTTCACTGTATCAGCCAATGCCCCCTCATCCCACCTGTGAATTTTTACCTTGCATTCTAACTCTTTCTCACAATGAGAGAGAGAAATTACTTTTCTACAGAAGACTTTGCTTGCATGTCCAAATGTGAAGCTTGCTTGGAGAAACATAACTCAGTAAACGCCAGGGGTCATTTCCTGCAGGAGTGCACAGGAGCGGAGCTCCAGCAGTAAAGAGCCCAGGGGGCGGGCACATAAACAAGGCCCCACCCCCTGCTCCCAGCAGCCCTCAGTCAGAGCAAGAAGCAGCCAGGTAAGTTGCAGAGTCCCCCGGCCCAAAACAATCCAATGGCACCTTTAAGACCAAGTTTTATTCAGGTAAAAGCTCTCCCTCCTCTGCGGGGACAGATCTGCACGTTCCCCCCCCCCATAGCTAGCAATCCAAAACAGTCCAGTGGAGCCTGAGCGGTGGGTGTTGCCTTCTGCAAACAAGTTATGCTAATGAGTTATGCTAATGAGCTCCTGCACCTCTTTTTCTACGAAATGACCCCTGGTAAACGCAAGGGTTAAATAACAGGATCTGTGCATTAACTAATAATGTATGCATGTATGTGGAGTCCTTGATTTTTTTTGTCAGAAATTCTGCTATTTTGGAGACAGTCTCTTGTGAGCAACCAGTCCCCTTGGTTTTAATGCTGTCTAAAGGTCCTTCAGAAAAATCAGTGGATTTCTGAACCGACTGCCCTTCTGGTGTGCGCCTGTCCTTTTAACATCGCTGTGTATTGGCCAGGGGTGGCTGTTTGGACAGGAAGCTGCCTGAGTCCAAAGTGCTACAGACCTTCATAGGCCTAATCCCACCCCTCACCCTGCAGCCTCCCACCCCTCAGGAATTCAGGAAGTTTGTTTTGTGCAA